ATATTAAGGTGTTAGACTGATTTTAAATCAGTTTTCCCTTTTTAAAAGAGTGAGAGTTAGGGCTTTTGAGAGAAGAGAGAAAGAAGAGGAGAAAGAGAAAAATGAGCAAGGTTTCGTCAAAGATCATCGTGGATATCGTCGGGGGTGATCCCTACTAGGTATGTGAGTTCATAGTGTTGGGATGGTTCTTTCCCCACACGCCAAACTCATTTAATTTCGAGAAAAGATTGATTATGTTTGTTGAAGTTGTTGGTTGATTTGTTGAAGTTGTTGGTTGTGATTGTGTTGAAATTCTTGTTGATTTGGGACATGTTTTCGGTTGGGTTTTTGAGTTGAAATCTATTATATGTTGAGGGGTTTATGATTCTAAGTGTTTGGGGCTGGAACCTTTGAAGTTAAGAGGGTTTAGAGTTGGTAGCATGAAGGAGAAAAGTCGGGCAGCTTACATGAAGCAAGTTTGCGTCGCAGACTTGTTCCCTCTGTGAACAAAATCTGCTTCGCATCGCGGACAGGACACGGACTTCACTGTTTCAAAGAGTAATTTTCGTAATTTTTCTTAAGTTTAGCTGTCCTAAATCATCCCTAAACATCATAAGGTCTTTCTAAACACAAATCTTGAATCCTTGAATCCATAATTCAATTCAAGAAAGTTAGGATCAAAGTCAAGTGAAATTAGAGTCAAGCTTAGAAGTTAAGAAGTAAGTCAAAGCAAGTCTTTAAAGCTTTTCAAGAGTCTTTATTGAACGTTTTAACTTCATTTTAAGGCTCAAGTTTCAAGTCAAGTAAAGAGTATTGAGTTTTAAGTTAAGCCAAGAGTAAAGAGTTGAGTTCTTTTCGCAAGTTATTAGGGAACTATGTATTCCCAAAGAAGTTTTTAAATGTTTTTACATTTGAGTAAGAAAGGAACTATGATTCCAAAAGAGCCTTTGGGCTAGTTTTCAAGAAAGGGAACATCGATTCCAAGTGACCCTTTGGGCTAGATTTTGAGCAATTATCTCAAACTAAAGAAAGTTGTGTTTAAAACAATTATGAGCTAAAGTATTTTGGGAGTAGTATTGAGCACCGAATTGGGGACGCGAGTTCATATTAACTCAACTCTCCATAAGAACCATGTAGCCAAACATGGGAATTAACGGACCATTCTTTTAGATGATCACGTAAGATTAAGCTAGTGGATCCACTAAGTTAAGTAAGGTCCTATATCACGGCAAGGTATAGGATGGTACTTGGGCAACGTGAGTTGTGACGTTGTATCATCACTAGGGCTCATAGTGGTGGTTGTCGGTTAAAGAATCTCCCACTAAAGTTATATTACTTTCATATAAGTAAAGTTGAGTTTG